CAACCAACCGGCACTTAGCCAGCGTGGTTGACTATGGCCTAATCACCCTTAACTTAGGGTAGGCTCCGAGTCCCTGGGTGGGGACGAATAGTGAGCGGATGATAAAATAGATGGATGGATGTTTGGAGATATCTCCAGAACAGTTGTTAGTGGTGAGATTCTTCTCCAAAACTTCGATTTACAAAAGCTTTCTCGAATATATAATGTGCATATCGTAATCATCTTCGACGTTTTATTTGGTCTGTTTAATTTAAAATAACAACTATAATAATAAATATTAGCCTTTAGATATTTAATGTAGATCTAGTTAACAATTTTATTCATCATCAATTGTAAAAAATTCAGACTAATTGATAACCTCCTTCTTTTTAAAGTCTGTTCATAATAAAACTACATCTCTCCTTTTCTAAGCGATACGTAAACGTGTGACTTGCTCAAGCAGTTACGCGTTAGTAATTCGATCTTAGTTATCGTTATTTGCTAAATTGCGGAGAGAGGTCGATTTTAAAAGCTCCGTTAATTGCCGGCATCGTTCCCATTACTGTTCCCCGCGCCACTGATACGCCTCTGCGAACTCACAAACGCACATCTGGGACCAATGTTAGCTAATATACGACCAGAATGACTTACAAACCAATAAAATACTCTCTGATTTGAATTTTATTGCACTGAAAATAAGGTTTATTTCCTTTAATTTAGAGTAAAGACAACCATGTCTTCGAACACCTGTTTCAACCAAATCGTTTATTTAAGCAATACGATATACGATTGTAGTTCGTAATCCCCGGAGATAAGGTCGGATATCGAATGAAAAATGCTATCGTTGCATTCTTGTTTGTTAGGGATGTTCGCATAAATTATCGATATTTCGCTTTGAGGTTGTAGACTGGGATAAGACTGTCCTTTTCTAAGCGACTGATTATGTTTTGCCGCTTGAAGAATGTGTGGCCGGAACGAGTGGTAGAGACTAGAGGCTTTGTGTCTGCGACTACTGACTACTTGTTTAGGTTTGTTTTGTTTTAAATTTGGATCAAAAAATTCTATTGTATTTTACTGTAATATGGATAAAATATTTTTTTTAATTAGTCATGTCTGATAGCTATTTTATTTGTCGATAAAGTAATATAATACGAGTGTTGACGTTGGTACAGAATAAAATATTAAAAAAAATACAGAAACACGTATTAAGTACTAAATTATATAATCGTAACTCGTCACTTGGATTTAAAATAGTTTTTTTAATGAATACTTCAATTATTGTAATACAGTCGTTGAGTTTGAATGTTAAACGATTCCTTATAAGTTGAATTTGCTTAGAAATGAGTTACTGGTATGGCGCGGTGGCGGCGGTTCATTTGCTGAGTCAAATAGCAACCGATCGACGCCGGGTCACGGGGCTAGTTCATAATACACGAGGTGTCGGCGGCCCGCCGGCGCCACGGCGACCGGCGCCTACTATCCTGCCGACAATCCATAGATATATCATACAAAAAGCAACTTTAACTAAAACAACTTAAAGTTCGATTTAGAAGATATTAATTTTAATCAGCTGTGATTTGTATACACATTTGAAAATGCATTTTAAAACAAAGCAGATAGAGTAGGTTATAGCTTGCTTGTGGTTTATTGTATAGAATTCATTCCTTGATTTTGAATTCCGAACGCCAAGTAAAAGAAAGTCATTCTTAAAGGAGCACGATAAAATTTTTTATACACATATTATTTTTGATCCATACTGAGTGTATTTCGCAATTTTTTTTAAAGCTAATGCTTACATCAGAGTTGTTTGCAAATGACATTCTTTTATCCAGTTCCATCACCATGGTATCTAGTTGCCTAATTTTTAGTATACTTGGGTATAACTAAGAATCCTTCGTTGTTAAAATATTTGTAGTTGTCCTGTGTACATATTCTTACCTTTTAGTATATTTGTCATGACGATTTATGCCGATGTCAATTCCTTTACATTACCTATACAGGTAGAATGTAGAATCTGTGTAACTCTGGTAAGAATTCGTATAAGCTTTTCGAAATCGCCGAAATTGCGAAGCAACCGCTGCGCATAAACATCCGCAATTGCATATGCTTTCTCTACCTTTAGCATACGTGGAAGGGAACGCAAAGAAAGAGATATTTCATCTTACTTTGCGTCCCCTCCTCCGTCATGTCCACTTCCTTATAAGAAAAGATTGGGAAGTATAGGCGAACTCATCAGATGAAACACGGAATTACTTCCACTTAATGCATGTCCTTCTATGTGGTCGTGTTACTGAGCTGACCAAGTGAGCTGACCCATTCTGGCAACAGATGTTATTGTTACTGACTTCTATAACTGGCAAGATACTAAACTCAGCTATCCATTGATATCAAAAAATCTATATGCAGAATATAGATTTTTTGTAATAAGTCGTGTTTTAATTTGAAGTTATTAAGACTTGCGTTAGATGGAAACAAGACGATCTTTTCATAGATTATAGTATGGTATAAAGTTGGATCTGTTAAAACAAAGCTTAAATAACATTTTTACTTACTAATATAAAAGTGCCAATGACTAGCGCCAACTTTAACGCAATTTAAACAAAAGAAATGAAGGAACAAGGAAATGTTAGAAAAAGTTTTTAGTTTTTCAAAACTGATAATTCAAACATTTTATTCGAAGTCACACTTGTCAGGTCAAAATTTTTATACGAACCTCATCAAACAGTCAAAAAACTGTAGCATGCTAAACAAAACGCGATGATATTCACGCTTACGGGTCTATGGCTAGGTGTCAAAAGCCTTACCTGACCGTTCACCGCCCACACGGGCCAGCGGAGCCAAGAAATATTTACAATCTCAGCCGCATTCTGTTTGTTCGGGAGTTATCCCTTCACACCCGCGCATTGAGTCCGCCACTCAAATTAATGTATCAATATTGTAAAAACTATCTTCCCGAAATGACACGTACTGTGTGTGCTTTTTTGGGCTATACAAAATGCATGAACCATGCCTGTGAACCAAAAACTTCGTTGCTTCAATGCTGCTTCTTCTTAACGTTCTTTTTTAAAGGACGACATTTATTTTTAACTTCAACCACTAGGTAATCGTTTGTGTTTTGTTTTTCTTTGTTCAGAACAGCTGTCGAATTACAACAATCCGTAAACATGCATTTTGTTACGCTTATGTCTCGAATTAATGTAACTTCTTTAAGCTGTCCATAATAAAATTCACGACAAAACCTGTATAAACGGCTGGAGGCGAAATTTGGCTGTTTTTTTTCCGGCGAGTCGTTCCTCGAAACCGAGGAAATGTTTGGGCAAAAAGCCGACGGAACAGGATTTCGTATCGATGTTGCCAAATCTGGACGCGTTAAGAGATGATAAAGAGAGGGCCGCCACCGCGACGTACAAAATCACAACAGAAGCGAATAAAAAAGCATGTTCTACCAAAACGAATTATGGTCCTTCAAGAAGAGTACTTATTCCTTAAACGACAAGAATGTAGCTGCAGTTCGTCTGTTCTTAATATAAGGCATCCATTGCTTGTTTATTCCTTGACTATATTAAAAAAAATCTAAAGACGCTGTACTTCTTTCACCTAATATTTAAAAGAATCTTGAACTAAAGGATTAATGCATATCTCAATTTATCTACGGCGACAGCAACAAAAATGTATCACGATGATAAGCATGTTTTGTTCTTAAAAGCGTTACTTGCATAATTGACGATATCTAAAATTCAAGATTGTCTGAAATATTTGTTAAAACATTTGCGTAAATTTTCCCTACACGCCATATTCAAAGATAAACAAATATTATTGAGAGGAAGTGGTTACTTAAAACTATAAATTAACTAGTGGTCGCCCGCTACTCATTCCGCAGAATTAACAAAAAACATAATTAGCCGTAGCCTATGTGTTCTTCTAGACTATGTTCTATATGTATGCTAAATTTCAACAAGATCCGTTCAGCCGTTCTGGAGATATCTTCAAACAAACAGCCATCTATCTAAACATTCGGATTTATAATATTAGTAAGATTTAAGATTAAGGTAAAGCCCTGGGTACCTGTTAAAGACTTAAAGACCTAATTAATGCGACTAATGAAAAATGTGATGACGACATATCGATACAAATCGGAATCGTATCTGATCACGGCCAGTTCAAAGGAGCTGCGGCGCGAAATGTGCGTACGTAAATTGAATGCGTATGCATGAGTCACAGTGGCACATGTGTACGTGGAAATAGCCTCTAGCTTGCAAGTTGGAACAAATGTTGAGATGCGGCGGGCGCTGCGGCGTCGGTCCGAGAATGCGACCGGCCGCCGCCAGTGATGCGAAATATCGATAACGTACAGACTAATTAAATCGATAACATTTTTATACACATTTTTTATTTTATCGATATTTCAAGCAGAGAAATAATTAAAGTAGAATGTATTTATTAGGAACTTATCGCGTTTATAGAATGCTAAATTTATTTAGAAAAAATCTTAAACTTTTACGTTATTATCAATACAATGATGTTTAAATTACCTTGCGTTTTTAATCTTAAAACAGATTTATTATAAGTAAACAATAGTAAATGTCTGTAAAAACAATGAAATGATGTTTTTACTGAATATATCCCTGCGAGATTTATAAACAAATGCAATCAAGGAAATTTTTATTTTTGCTCGTATGAAGAGAGTTATGTTTTTAAAGGTTTGTTTGTATGAACGTCTGTTCCATTGTTACCTCTAGATTTCTCAGCTTTTTTAAAGTGAGGTGTATCCCATTCGATTTTATTTCCTGAATTAATAAAGATATTTTTTAATTAACTGCTACGCATTTCTTTTTAATCCGCCATAGTTTCTTTTAGTTTATACTAAATAAAATAAAAAATAATTTTAAACAAAAAAAGTTGGTATGGGCGCATCTCTAAGGGCGGACCGGGCTGGCGCCGCGCTTTTTTACCCCGGCACCAACACTGGCGCTGCGTTTCAACTTGTTATTCAGTTTAGTTTGACTCGGACCGTCGTACGAGGAGTATGTGCGTATTGTCGCATTTTACTCGACAATTACGCGAACGCACGTGACATACAATGACAATTTTGTGTTTGTTTACGTTGTATTGAATGAAAACTGTGTATGAAATACGTGGAAAGAATTGTTCTATTTTAAGTGTGAATTATTTTGAAGTTTGTTACCCCTTCAAGTTTTAAGTTTGGATTTATTCGTTAAACATATATGAAGATGTCAAATACTTTTACGTCTGGTGATACGGGAGAGCAGGCTGACGTAAAAGGTTGGTGTTGATTTTTATTAATTAATAAATAAATTTAACGGAACCGTTTTGCAGCAAAATTTATGAAGTTGCTTGATTTTTATACCTTTTAAAGTGAGTTTCCACTAGTGAAATACTGGAACAAAAATCGTCTTCGTTTTTTCAAGGATGATATTATACATTTTTGAACGAGAATTTTGTGGCAATGGAAAATCACGGCAGCTTATTTGCTGCTTGGCAACCTGCAGTCAGTTTGCAGTTGTGACTAAACTTTGCTTCAAACTTCGTTCCAGATTTTACAATAAAATAATTGTCACTGAAACGATGATTACTAATAGATATTGTAGTTTATCACTTTAATGAATTCTTTCAATGAAATATTTTTTAGTAACTATAATAACAAAAGTTGTGACAAACAATTTGACGCAACGAAATATTTTTTTTATTTCATAATTTTTACTAAACAACATATTTTTTTTATCATAATAGATGTATTATAGTAATACGAAATTGGCTAAATCTTTATCTTAAACAAAAAACAGTTGCAATTCTCGTTCATGATGTGAGTTGCATGCTATGTTTTGGCCTATAACGAACTTAATATTTTTTCCTACTGACTATGGTTGATTTGGTACCTATAAAAAGACGGTTTGTATATCAAACGTTTGGTTAAATTACCATTGCTGAATATCCAAACGTTTGAAAGCCGGAAACTTCAGTTTCAAAAGGCTCCTGACTCGAATTCCGATTTTAGATTCCGTATTTGGTCGCTGGTCGTAAATGAAATTATGCTTTTAACTTGTTACTGAATGCATTTCGTCGGTTTGACCACGACGGCGCCTGCGGGTGAATGTCTTTATTTAGCGATCTCTTTGAAGTAATAATTTGAGATGCGTATCTTTTTCTGTACCTTAATTTGTAAGCTAATCTTATATCCATATATTTTATGAATTACAAGAAATTTTTAGTTAAAATTTATTTCATATATCTATTAACAATAATGTTAGTCAAAGGTCAAAACATTCTAGAAAAGTGTCATACGTACTGAGGTCGTAAAGGCTTTTGTAGAATATCAGTGTTTTTGCCCCTTATATTAAACATTCAGCTGAGCAAAGGCCCTATCTGTTCTGCATTGCAACGCTTCATTGTAATTTGTTTGATTTTTTCTTTTTTCTCTTTTTGATTGTGTTATAAGTGTTGTAATGGTTTTCAACGGATTGAATCACTTATTATTATTATTAATATACGTAGATGTTTAAGGTAAGATTTATTACAAGAATTAAAAAAAAATCACGGTAAAAAATACACTAACGATATTAACGAAAAAAATTACCGAAAAATCAATCAGTACTAATTTGTTAGCGACGTATAGACTTAAAAACAAAAGGGGAATTCGAAAAAAGGGCCCATTCACACGTGCACATGTTACAAGGGTGTAAACCCCACCGCGCGCACAAGTGTACACCATTACAACGTTAACATATGCAACTGATACACAATTATAACCTTTATTGTATATGCAGTAAAGCGTTGTATAATGCAATAAACATTTGTCTAAGGATTTGTTTATTCACATGCTACGAGGCGGGGGTCGCGTGAATCTCAAATTGTTTTCCAGTGCAGTAATGAGTACAAAAATAATGGAACACCTTATTAATTTATTTGAATATCTATTGAGTGACAATGTTCGTGTTTTGTTTGACTTTTTAACAACGCGAAATAATGATTTGGACATATGTTAATGCTTTGACTTAATGTTGAATTCAATAATATGTCACTTCCGAAATTGGTCTAATTTCTTATTTTCAATGTCACAATTTAACGTCACACAACAGTTTGTCAAATAACGATAACAAGATGGCCAAAGTGTTAGGTAAAATATAAAATATACAAGTTAAATTTAAAAGCCAAAATCTATATATATAAAAGAAAGTCGTTTTAGTTACACTATACTGTTCACTATAACTCAAGAACGGCTTTACCGATATGGCTGAAAATTGGTGAGGAGGTAGCTTAGAGCCAGGAGACGGACAAAGGATACTATTTATTCATTTTTTTTCGAACTTATGTTGAAGAGCTGCTTTTTATTTAACTTACTAATATTATAAATGCGAATGTTTAGATGGATGTGATGTGGATGGATGAATGGGTTTCCACTAATTCAGATTTTTTATATATCCACGCGGACGGAGTCGCAGGCGACAGCTAGTTATAAATAAATAAAATCCGACATTATTCGGTAACCTTTGTACTCTGAGTTATCGCAATGAACGGTGCAAAATTTGTCACCGATATATCCCACAGATTATCTCATATCTTTCACGCGTGTAGTAATGTCACTTTTGATAGCGGTCGTAAGTAAATAAATGATTGGTGATTTAAATAAGCTACACTTCGCCGGGATAATACTTTATCAAGATCTGTACTTACTGTTTTTTTTTTATATTCAGATCAAAGCAAATTTATAACATGAATAAAAATCGCGCCAAAATGCAAACATTAAAAATATTATTTGATATCATATCTACTTTATTATAGATTAAAATATAAAATTCGTATCAAAGCTGTCAAAATTCCCGCCGCTAATTTGTTCTAATTTCCGAACGACTTTTTTTATCTGCTCACAGGAGTCACCCTTTACTTTTTTTTATCGCCGGGCAAAGATACAGATGTCATACAGCCGTGTCAGCTATCGTTATTACAGCTATTATGTGCACCACATCTGGTACTGGGTTAGGGTGACTGTAAAGTTATTAAATATTCTATGGATATTCCCGCTAAAATAACCTAAATTGCAATATTATTCTACCAAAAAGCTGTAATAAAATTACAATTGAAAACAGCTGTTTAAAAGGGAACGCTCTGTTTTTAAATGTATTGTAGATATAGCATCTGTAAAGGATAGAAATTGTAAACAGAAGGTCTGTTGAAACAATAATTTCTGCTCAGCCTATACGGGGCACACATCTGGCGCCCAAGCGCGACCTGACGTCATCAGTTTGACATGTGGCGACAACGGACCAATGCTTTATTATTGGCCTATTGAATTGTTTCTGAGGCTAAATGCATTGTTCAAAATGTTTTTTTTATAATGAAAGTATAGATAATAAAATTAATAGTTATTGTTTCGAATGGTAATAGAAGAATGCCAGTTCTTTGGATTAATTTTTCAATTTTGGTTCATCTGTATCTATTAATATTTTGTGGTCTTTCACATACATACGTCCCGGAGGCCTAATTTAGTCCTCTTTCCCTTCCCACCCTTTTTCTTATAAGGAAAGGATGGGAAGTTGAAGTGGACTTTCCGGATGAGAGGATGCATGGGAAGGGAAGATATTTTCTTTCTGTGCATCCTCTCCTCCGTCGATTAAAGGTAGGCAACGCATAAGCTATTACGTATGTCTATGGGCAACGGTCACTTCGCTATTTCAGTGATTTCAGGTGGCCGTTCGCTCGTTTGCCACCTTATGATATAAAAAAAATACATATTTCGGCATCTCAATCTATTAAGATAAGTAAAATTTATCGATTGATATTATTTATCAATGTACTATGAACTGTTTTATTTTTTTCTTTTTTTTTTGATGGCCAGACTTTAACAATTTCGTTTAATATTGCAATTGATATCTTTAGCACGCGGAAGAGAATATTAGATAAAAGAGTTAAATAATTCATAATATGATAAAAATTCGATGACCTTGCGGACAGACAGACAGACAAAATTAATAAAAACTGTATTTTAGCTATCAGGATCACAAATACAGTAACAAATATGATTTTTCGATATTATATACAGACTATTTTATTTATATGTATGTATAGATAATAAAAAAGTTGGTCACTATGACAAGGCATATAATTACTGATAAATAATATTCTAGTGTGTATATGAAGACCTAGTCGGACTGCCTTCAGAATTTTCTATAATCTCATCTACAGGTTGCTCCTATTAAAAATGTTCTTACAATCGTGCGTTCTGATTGGTCAAGACGTTTATACCTAGAGTGACGTAATAACCTAGATAAATATGGGTAATTTACTTCAACTAGGCGCTGACAGCCTTGGCTTACTGTACTGAAAAGCCTATCATCGCCCAACAATAGATTGTAAAGGCTTAAAACACAATATTTTTATTTATTTATATGCAATGTAGTGATCAATGTTAGCAGACTATTCAGCAGAGGACGATTATGATATAAAAATAATTAACAATGCTGTTAGAAGTTTACTTTGCGACATTTGTGTTACGCCGTATTCCTTAATTATATTTTTCTCTTGCGTGCATAAATATCTCTCTGTTAATATTCAGATCTTACCTTAGGCTAAACTGCTTATTAAGTTTTTAAAATTATATACAGAGATAAATAAAATTGTGATTTTCGTTAGAGGTGAACGACAAAAAATATCAGGATCTTGTTTGTTGTAATGTGGGGGTTTCCCAATTGCGTGATTCTCAGTGGTGAGCCGGATGAGAAAATATTTCGTCAATTGTTAAGAATCGCTAGTGACCCCATATCTCGCGCTTTATACAGGACTGTCCTGTTTCCTTTTTATAAATCTTTTCCAAATTAAAGTAGAAACTAAAGCCGTTTAGAAAATATATATCTCTAGGTATACAAATTAATATTAAAAGAAAAATATTAATAATAAGGAAAAAATTAATCAATTGTTTAATGGTGTTCAGTGTACATATAGGTAATTTATGTATTTAATCAGGGGATTATGCACCGAATAAGCATTGCTAATACTAATTTACACATGTCGGCGCATGGGCGCCACTGTGCTTTTGTTGTTGAACGCATTCCCATACTCTGCTGCGTGTTAAAACATACTAACAAACTGATTGACTTGAATACGTATTAGGCTCGCCGCAGACGGGCCACAGCCACCGGTGGCCATCGACAAGCAGTTCGATTTTTCATACATTTTAGTAAAACGCATACGTGTGGCCGTTGGCAACTCTCAACAGTAGTAAAATCGTTGACCATCGGTGGCTGTGGTCGGTGGTCCGTCTGCGCCGA